TATATCCGATATTCCATAGGATCATGTAAAGCAAAATTTTATAGTTATCCGATAGTATTTTATATGCAATATCAAATATGAAATTTATTTCATTATTATTTATACACGCAATAAAATTATATTTATATACATTATCAATTCTATAAGCTAGTGATAAGATTATACTTTGTTAGACTATTAATAAACTATTTATACATGATCATTGAGGCCTCTCGGATATAAAATTTATCCGATAGAAAATGATTACATTATTTTTACTTATTACAGGAAAATGATTGGCTGAATAAGCCACTTCGTGGCTTATTTTCAGCCAATCATTTACCCTCCATAAGTAAAAATAATGTTATTCACTCTTTTCCATCGGATAATAATATAGTATTTGATAGTCGGATAAATTCAAGGTTGTATAATTTTATATCCGTTTAAATTTTTGTGATCAAATAATCAAGTCAGATGATGTAATTATTATGAAAATCATTGACCAATTAAAATTTACGGTTAATTATAAATCATATTTATATTAAATGCATACCGGAGTATCAATATTTATTCTCGGAGTCAGAACTTGATCAACAAGTGCATTAATAACGTGATATTCATCATGTGAACTAAAGTTTGTGATACATCCATATAAAGTATTTTCTCATAAAAATACGTCATTTATAACATACTTCTGCATTTTATGCGTACGTAAAAAATATCATAAAGAAAAAAACCTTTTAACAAAGTTAACCTGAAAAAAAAAATACTATGACTTCAAATAATGATATTTCAAAAGATGATGAAAATTTTTTAAAAGAATTTTTAAAAAATTTTTATATAAATGATATTTCAAAAGATGATGAGAATCTTTTAAAAGAATTTTTAAAAGGATTTTATCGTAAAATTATAAAAATAAAAAATTATGATGAATATGAAATTATTTTAATAGAATGGATAAAAGAATTTTTAAATTTTAATAAAAAAAATTCTAAAATAATATTAGAATTAATGATAAATCATGAAAATAATGAAATTTGGTTTTCAAGTTTAATAGGATTTTTTTATCAATATAATATTGATAATACTTATATTATTGATAATTATGAATCTTTAAAATTATATTCTAATACTTCAATTATTAATTATAAAGAAAAATATTTAAAAATTTTTTCCGTTTATCAAATACTTAATATTATTATTTCAAAATATTTATTATCATTTTATTATTATAAAGATATTATTTGTAAAAAAAGAAATTTGTATGAGAAAGAATTAAAACAATTGGGTATTATAAATGTAATGTCAAGAAGTTTGTATGAAATTTTTAATGGATTAAAAATAGATATATGTAATGATGAAATAAGTAATATAGAAAATTATTTTGAATTATTAGATAAAGGTTTTAAGAATCAATCAGAATATACCAAAGATAAAAAATTAGTAGAACTAAATAATTTAGCTTATAGTCAAAATGAATTTAAAACATTTGAATCATATTTAAAATCCTCAAAAGAAGGGAATTCTTGTGCACAAAATAATTTGGGATATTGTTATCAGTATGGAATTGGAATAGAAAAAGATGATAAAGAAGCATTTAAATATTATTTGAAAGCTGCTAAAGGAGGTAGTTCGGATGCGGAAAATAATTTGGGTGATTGTTATAAAAATGGAATAGGAATATCTAAAGATGAAAACAAAGCATTTGAATGGTATGCAAAAGCTGCAAAAGGAGGAAATTCTGATGCTGAAAATAATTTAAGTATTTGTTATATAAATGGAATTGGAACAGAAATAAACCTAGAGAAAGCTATTTACTGGTGTAATAAAGCAGCGGAAAATGGAAATGGAGCTTCCCAATATAGTTTAGGTGTATGTTATGAAATCGGAATAGTAGTTAAAAAAGATGAGGATAAAACTTTGGAATGGAATGCTAAAGAAGGAAATACTATTGAAATAAAAAAAGATTTAGAAAAGGCTATGTATTGGTATAACAAAGCAGCGGAAAGTGGAAATGAGATTGCACAATATAAATTAGGTAAATGTTATGAATTTGGAGATGGAATTGATAAA